TTATCTTTTCAAGGTATGCAAAATCAGGAGAAACAGATATCAGGAACAATCCTGAAAAACCATGTGAAAGCATAGTTGGTTACGATGCCAATGCATTATACTTGTGGGCCATAGACCAGAACATGCCTACCGGACCATTTATTCGTCGACGTGCCGAGAACGGATTTCGGGGAGAAGTCCGAGATAGATACATGTCTGCATTCTACTGGTTGGATTACATGAGTTCTGTCTCGGGGCATTTCATTCAGCATCGTTTGAATACCGGCAAAGAGAAACGCGTGGGACCCTATCCAGTGGATGGATTCTGTGCGGACACGAATACCATATTCCAGTTCCACGGATGTTATTTTCATGGACATGACTGTCATTTAACAAAAAATATCAAAGCCAAAAAGTGGCATGAAAAAAGAGAATCTCTATTCAACAAGACCCAAGAAACATCCGATTTTTTAAGACAGGAGGGGTTTTCCGTAAACGAAATATGGGAGTGCGAGTACAATTTGCTCAAGCAACAAAGTGCCTGTTTACAGAAAATGATTACTGACAAAACGCCACAGTTTTACAAAAAATTCAAGGGATGTGTTACCGAAAATCAGATTTTACAAGGCGTTCTGGATGAGACCCTCTTTGGAATGGTTGAAGTGGACATTAAAATTCCTGACCAGTGGCCGGACCATATACAAAAAAGTTTGACTCCATACGAATATTTTCAGGAGATGGCACCTATATTTTGCACTACAGACATTCCCTTCAACGCCATTGGTTCTCACATGCAGAATCATGCCCGTGAAAACAATCTCAGTGAAGATCCTCGTCGACTCCTCGTAGGTGGCTTACGTGCTAGAAAAATTCTTCTAGCTACACCACTCTTGAAATGGTATCTCAACCATGGAATGGATGTAACCCGCATTTACCAGGTGGTTGAATTTACCCCCATTAGATGCTTTCGAGAGTTTGTGCGCGAAGTGACCAACGACCGACGCCTTGGAGATAGGGATCCATCTATGGCAATATTAGCTGATACATCAAAGTTGAGAGGTAATTCTAGCTATGGATCACTTATCATGGATCAGTCTAAACATCGGGAAATAAAATATGTGAAAGGAATTGAAGAAGCCACCATAGAAGTGAATGATTCCAAATTCATTAATCTCATCGATCTACGACACCATGTTTACGAAATAGAAAAAGCAAAAACTAGAATTTCTTATGACCTCCCAGTCCAACTTGGTTATTTTATTTTGCAATATGCCAAATTAAGGATGTTGCAATTTTATTATGACTTTGTTGACAAGTTTGTGGAGAGAAGTGACTTTGCCTACTGCGAAATGGACACTGATAGTGCTTATATGGCCATATCTGGGCGTAACCAGGAGTCCATCGTTAAACCAGAACTCATAGGTGAATTCCGTCATGGGTTAATGGATTATTGTACGGATACGGAAATAGAGGCAGATGATCTTGTGCACTGGTTTCCCCGTGAATGCTGTCAGAAGCACAAAAAACACGACAAGAGAACCCCGGGTTTATTCAAATTAGAATATACTGGTGACGAAATGATTGGTCTTTGCTCCAAGACATATATTGTAAGCCAAATAAGCGTTCGAGACCCGCGGCTACAGCAGAAAGCTTACCAACTTTTGAGGAAAGCCTGCAACAAGAAAACAAAGCGTCTGAATTCGTATCGTCCCAGAACATTTCAAAATGTAAAATTCAGTTGTCAGGGAATAACCAAACGATTTGTGAATGCGCCACTTCAAACATTTAGAAAAGTGCTAAAAAGTCGCAAGTCCGCCATTGGCTATAACAAAGGATTCCGTGCCCGGAACAACACCATATTTACCTATGAGCAAGAGAGGTGTGGTTTTTCCTACTTCTATTGCAAAAGAAAAGTGCTAAACAACGGGATCGATACCGAAGTGTTGGATATTGAGCTGTGTCCTGAAAAAAGAGATTTGGACGATGAACAAAATGTCTCAAATTTGCTTGAACTAATGGAACAATAAGTGCTATGTATATATATTACCTGGATCAATTTGTATATGAATTAAAACTTTTGTAAATATGAGATGAATTTGTAGATAAATAAATTATGTTGTACATATTCACCACCTTATTAAATTTAATAAACATGATTTCTTTTGTTGATTTTCTTTGATTATGGTGTCCTCAGATAGATTAATACCTTACTACCCAGTAAGTGTTTTTATCATTTGTCAATGAGATTAATAGTATAAAGGGATTTCATATAAACTGTTAGCCATGAAGTTAAATAAAAGAATTATCATTCATTAGAACCCTCAATCCTCTTTGTAATTCAAACAACAAAGTTACGGTCATCGGTTTAATTTCTTAATAATTTTAAACTTGTTACAGCTTGATTGAATCTACATTATTTTATAACTTTAAGAGACAAGTTCACACTCATTTTTTTTTTAAATTGAAACTGATAAACAATAATGGAGTCTAACATTTACTTTGCTGAGGAAGAAATTATAGGTCAGAGTGTGAAACAAATTAATGAATGGGCAAAATTAATTAATTGGAGTGAGGAATATAATCTCCGATATCATCCTCTGATTCAGGACAAATTATTCTTTCTATCTAGTGGAGACGGGGAACATTGGTAAGAAACTATTTATTTTTTTTTAGGTTATGAATTTTGTATTTTTCTTAAACGCTTTCAAAAAAAACATAAAATAAAATAAAATAAAACTAATTATAAAATAAAATAAAACTAATTATAAAAAGCTATGATTTTCTTCTTGTATTAAAGGAAACAACCAGCTTTTATTACGGAGACAGAAATATCAACAATTGAACTACAACTTTACAACATTATAAATAACTTTAAGGAACGAGATAATCTGATAGAATGGTCAAAGATAAATGGATTTGAAAATCACAGATATGTTGAATCTCGCAAAATCGAACTTTTACTGCATGAAGAACAGAGAGAATTAAATGTGATAAACAAGTTATTAAACAGTCCTTGGTGTATGCATGGCAAAAATCGCAAGTCTGGTAAAAGTGAAAAGATGAAAATATTTGTGTGTAAAAGTTGTGGACACATATCAGAAGACAGGTTCCAATACAAACTACACAAGAAACAACATGACAGCAAGCAAGACATCAATCTTCATTTCAAAATGAAATCAAGTAAAGTAATATTTTGTGAATTATGTGAAAAGAACTTTCACGCTGTGGAGTATCACTACATTTTAGAATGCAAAGCTATGTCCAAGTTTCGAAATAAATATTTACCTAAAAAGTTTTGTCAGAGGTCAAATCCACTTAAATTTTCTGATTTGTTATCAAACTCGGATACAAAAACTCTTAAAGTGTTTGTAAATTTATTTGTAAAATATGTCAAAGACTGAAATAAACAGTGTTCAATTTTTAATTAACATTTACATATCATTACAACGCATGTTGCTGAATAAATCATAATTTACAAAAGCGATACTTTTTTTTATTTATACTGTTTGTAAAGTTTTTTCGACAACAGGTACAAGTTTAAGTAATCCATTCCACTGATCTTTATCAAAGAAAATCCCTCGAATAGTTGGTACATCACGGAGGAAGTACCGAATGTCAATCCTAATATCTTTCCTAAAAACGCACACTGTTACTTTAAGATTGCTGGTCACTGGAAACATCTTGATAAAACTGCACAGTGTCGTATTAGAGTCAACACTTTGTGTATTGTTCAAACTTTTATTGTCATTCGTATCCGGAATAGATGAAATTGTTGTTAAAACAATAACCAGTGTAAATAAGAGCAGTCCAACCACGACAATAGTTGCCCTAGCTTTAATGCTAATTTGTTTGTTTCTTAGAGAGTATACCACGTCCATCTCGTCTGCAAGTCAACAAAGAAATGAAAGAGCTTAGTATAAAATTTACACTTTTATTGATATGAAAAAATGCTCTTCAAGAAAATTACAGACGATCGAATCATTATCGAGGGTGGAATTTACAAATGCCTGAGCAATATCAAGCAAAGAATTTTCACGACAGCGAAGATAACAATAAAAAATACAATACAAGCCGCAAATAACTGACTGTGATGTTTGTAATGACATAGCATTATATCTGTATTGTAGTCCTCTCCATACTAAGTAATCTTTAAAAAAGCGTTGATAATATTCGGGAGGATGTCCGAGAGAGTCAAAAAATTCAGAACAATGTTCATCAAAATAAAACACACACCAATGTTGTCCGGGTAAACCTCTTTTATCCGTATTTAAAATGTAAAATCCATTCAATTTTTGATGCCACGGTAATTCATCAGCTGCGAAAATACCTTTAACTTGACTAGCAGTTTTATAGTCTCTGAGCAAAAGTGATTGTAACTGAGAAGAATTCATTATTTTACGTCAACGTTGCGACTGGCGTCAATACTCATCAAAGCTGGGAATTTACCATAACAGATGCAGGTAACTGCTTCTGGGAGTGTGCTGTCACGCTTTCCGGATATCTTGTTTCCGCCAAGACCGGTCTTGTTATATACGTCTGGGATTCAGCATGGCCGGAGCTGGTGCAAATGTGGGTTGTGTTAACCCTTTTTGTTTTTTGATGTTTTGATACCTGTGAGGTGCCACAGCGATGTGAGTGTTAATATGTGCATATGTCTAATGTGTTAAACAACTTTTTTTCATATTTTGCAATGATATTTTCCATGTGTTTAAATCTGTTGTCATTTTTGATAGAGGAAATTCGGGCTGATAATTTGTTCTTGTTTACCATTGATCGAAAGCCAAGTCTTTGTGTTTATACAGTGTTTGCATCTATTGTCAAAATTCTTCTAAGTAATTAAGGCCTGTATTTCATAGTGTATTCAAAATTGATGAGGTCATTTTTGTGAAATTATGAGTGAATATTATTTGTAGAGAAAGCTAGAAATTTATTGTCTATTTCAATTTTATTTTCAGTCATTTACCTCTTGTGAAGCCATTATCAGAATAAAGTCTTCAACACTACACATGGTTTCGAGGTCATTAATCCGCAGTTGCACCAGTCTGGGACTGAGACTGCACAGGGAGTGCTTTGTCAAATTTGAGCTGAAGACGGGTGTGCCCCTTCCTTAAAAGTGGTAATGTATCATCATTTTCGCATGACGGGTTAATACTGAACACAAAAAAAAAACAATATCCCCTAGAAAAATCCGATCGACTGAGCACCAGTTCTTGGTTTTCTGTTTCATACTTCTTACCAGCAAACAAACTCAGGTATTCACTGATGAAATTGTCGGAAGTAAAATTAGGCTCGAATGGTGCAGATGGAACAGATTTTCCATCTACGTAAAAAGCAGCAAAGTTACAATTGAAATGTTGAAAATTAAAAGGGTTCGTGCCATAACTGCCGCTGTAAGATTTAGAGGAAACGAAACCCACAACAAGGTGTTGTGGAATTTCTCCCTGAAAAACATCATCCACGTTTAGGTGAAACTGACCAGCTGGAATTCCGAAACATTTAATATCTGATTTCATAAAAGGATATAGTGCTGGTTGCTTTTTGATTGCTTCATTATGTCCTAAGAGGACTCCGGGATTAATTTTCAGGTAACAACATCTTAAAATGCTATCTTCAATATGAATCCGATATTTTGGTGAGCTTACGGCAGATATCAAACAAAACGACTCTCTGCTCGGCCATAATTTAATCCCCACCTGCACGCCGTTAATGAGATAACGATCTTGTTGACAAATATCCATGTATAACGGACCCTCTAAATCCACAAAAGAACTCTTTTCCGTGAGTAAAGCCCTCTGAAATAATCCCATATTCCCCCCTCCAAACGCATCAGACATATCCATAAATCCAGCGGAATCGGGAATGAATAACTGGGCTTCTAACGGTGGTTTCTGAGATGAGGTTCCATACTTTAGAAAAACGTCCATGTATGATTTATAGGCATAATTTGTGGAAACTGTGGGTGTAATGACCTGTTGTTGTATTGAAATATGTACTTGATTCCACAAACTCTGTAAAGCTAAATTTACGAATCCTACTTTTTCCTTGTCTTTTAAAGGTGTGCCATCCTCGTGTAAAATTCGTGCTCTCAAAAAGAGTCGAGTTCGTCGTAAATCTAAATAATTTGTAGAGGCACCCGAAATATTGAATCCATTACACCTCCATGAGATGTACTACCTACAGGACGCACGTCAATCCATTCAGTCTGTTCTACCCCAGCATCAGTAGGTAAGTTATGAAATAGAGACAATTTATGACTGAAAGCTGGTTCCGAGCCCTCTGCGAAAAACGACATGTTTCTCGGTTGGCGTATAAATGAAAAATGACAACTTAATATAAACTAATTATTATTTATTGTGTATATACAAATTTTTTAGCTTGTTTTTTCTTTGTCTTCTTTGGTTTTGGTTCATCTGGCTCAAACTTTAAAACTGGTCCCCCTTCCCGCTCTCGTTTTTTCAGGTCTGATTTCGCCCTCTCTACCGCCTGTTGAGTGGGTGTTACGAGTTCTATCTTTGGCTGCAAAACAGATTCACCTTTACCAAACTGTCCAATCACGTAAGACTTTTGTTTAGGAATATATTTCATCTGGCTGGCTCGTAAAAAATGATTTTTCCACTCTTCTACATTGGGTACAAACGGTTTCCAGGACATTTTCTTAAGTGAAGTGTACAATACAAAGTACTGATTGATAATGACGAGATGTTGTCGTGATCGTACTTAATATATATACGAAATCTCTGAATTTGATCGCGCGCAACAGGAATATAAAATGGCTGCTTAAATTCGTAACTTCCGTCCAGTAGTTGAAATCTCCGTAACATGGGAAGTTTTCGAAAATTAATATAACTGTTATTACACAAGTCTGACATAATATTTATCATTTCATTTCTCTTTGTGCTGAGATTTTCAAACTTAACATCCATAAGGGCACATTCCCAATCGCCATCTAAATGAAGTGTTTTGGGTAGTTCAATGACAAAGTCGTGTGAATTATCGGGGTGAAAATTTAAACAGTCTTTAGAAGAACAGAATAAAAAATGCTGTGTGGTCATGATTGTATATCTCGTAACTGACTCTGTAAGATCCAGCTGTTAAATTTATTTGGCCATCCTAACCACTTTACTAAAATTTCTCTTGTGTTATTCCGCATTCGTTTTCGCAATATTTTTTCGATTTTGTACAGTGTCATTTGTCACTCTTGCGCGTTGTAATTCTTCTTGGTAAAAAGTGCCCAAAATAGGTTCATTGTCATAGTCTTTCAAAGTGTATAAACAATTATTATCTTTTACGAATCTTGAACTTATTGTAAACAATTCTCGCGTCCATCGTTCATCATATTCTCTGGGAAACGCATTCCGTAAATACGTTATTCGTACTACGTCACCTACTTTAAACTTGTATCTCTTAAAGACGGTACCGACCTGATTGTCCATCTTTTGTAAATTCCAGAAATTAAAACGGTCATCATTAGTCACACTCTCTGGTGTTTTCTTAATAGATCGATGATAAGCATTATTGTAACTTTCAGTTATATCACTTAATTCATTAATCCAGCGATGCGATTGTTTGTGTCATTATTCGAATCAGTTTAGACTTGATTGTTTTTATTGCTCTCTCGGCATAAGAAGCTTTCACGGATTTTTGTGTCACAAAGTGTTTAATCTTTTTGATATCCATTAAGCGTTTTACATTAGAATTTACAAATTCACTTCCTTTATCCGTGCGGAACGTGTGTGGTTTTCGTCCTTGCTGAAATATTTCTCGAAGCGCACTTGTCATTTCTATACCTTTTCTAGTTTTTAAGGGAACAGTCCAAACATAACGAGAAAAGATATCAATCACTAATAAAAATGAAGTAAAACCGTCATTTGAAGATTTATAAGAGTCTAAAATGGCAGTGTCTGCATCCCATTGATAGTCTTTGTAAGTGGCAACCACTTTTCTTCTGGTAAACTTAGTTCTTGCTTGTTTATGTAAACTAAATGTCTCTTGTTCTTGAAGCCAATTTTTGATTTTAGTTCTAGAAATATTAAATTTTCCTTCTTTTTTCACTTCTCTGTATAATTTATCTGCTCCAGCATAAGCTGCAGGATGTGCGCTGTCGTAATAAATTGAATGCAGGTAATCTGTTTCAGTTTGCATTGCTATAGTTTAAGTTTAATCCACTTTGTTTTCTTTTTCATATGTCGTTTAACTTTTTTCTTAACAACGGGAATCTTTGCTGGTAAACCAGGGGGTGGAATTCGCTTTTCAGAGTTTTCTTGCTTTGATTTAGCAGTGATCGGTAATGAAAAATTATCCTCTGTTTTAGTAGATGATCCTCTTACGTTTTCTGTATCATCACTGGTTTTCGTTTCGTTGATTAGAGCTGATCTTGACTGTTCACCGGAAATTTCTTTCTGTTCTTCTTCTTTTGAATCTTCTTCGTTTAGTTTTCGTAATAATAATTGATATTTTTCATGAGGTACAAGAACCATTTTCTGAGTGTACTTCATTTTATAAGTTTTAAAATTAATCCATTCACTTCTTCTAGCAGTTGAGAAAATAATTTATAACGAGTTTTTAATGCACGTGTTTTAGTCTGTAGTGATTTTTTCGGGTTTATAAATTTTTGGAGAACAGTGTGGTTCTTTTTTAAGAATTTCTGAGCTCTGTTTGTGAGTGAAATGGAGCCATACAAAAGATTATGAAATATCTCCACTAATGCTAAGATCTGTTTCTTGTTTGCAGTATATAAGAGTCCAAATTTCTGCTCCTTGGGTGTGTCTTATCTAACAATAATTTTAGATAAGTCGAAACAGATTTTAATGTTTTACTCATAATTAACGACGTACATTCTTCAACGTATGAAATAAAACTGAATGGCTAATCAGTTTACAAAGGTTTAGTCCAGTCAGTCTGTCATAAACCCTAAACAAATTGCAACAGAATTTTTTTCTTTATACATAATTAGTATAGTGTATGTTAATGAACATATAAAAACTCTAGGAAATTATATCAAGGCGAAAGATGTTTTTAGTCAAGGTTAATATTTACCAATTTGATAAAATATGACTTGCATAAATGTGCTACCATACACACCAAGGGAGACAATTATTGTCTAAAGTAAACAAAGCAGTTCTTGTAATAAAGAAGTATAAATCAATCTTTATCTGCTTAGGTTTGTATCTGTTCAATGTAAATTGCAAATATCAAATCACAGAAGTCTATTATTCTAAGTCTGAATAAATACTGTTGAATTTAATACCAAATCAGCATGTCATATTTAATACTTGCATCATGTGTCACAATATTTCATGATGCACATCAAAATACTTGGCAATCACAGAAAATTATATTGTTTTTAGCATAATACTATTTTTTTTAAATATTTCAAACTGCTAAGCTTTTAAAACCTCACAGTTATAATAAATCCTAAACATTTAATCAGTAATGTTTACTTCTCTATTATTATTATATTGAATCATCAGGGGAAATAATCTATGGAAAGCTGCTAGTGATATAATTAATGTATGTAACTAAAATATTTTGGAATAAATATTGATTTATAAAATTAATGAAATATTTGTTACTATTCTTGTATTATAATTTTTTTCTGTAATATTATTATATTTTTAAACTTTGCATGCAAAATGTAATTAGTTTTTGTATTCTTGAATGATTATTTTTATAGACATATGCAGTGTCAGAAATGGTAACTATACATTTTATTGTTACTTGCAGAGTGTATTTTTAAATAATTTGTTCCTTTATATAATATTATTGTCTTTGGATGATTTGTATTACATTTATATTTTTTTTTATTATTTTTCTATATATTTAATTTGATTTCTTTTCAAAATTGAGTTACTTTTTATTATTAATAGAGAAAAGTATATTTTGACCCCTAAATTGAAAGTCAGAAGGCATATTGTTTTTATTCCATCTTTCATTCAGTCACTTCTTGTTCATACTGTTAAACAATAAGGCAAATAACATTTAATTTAAAAGGGGAGGGGGGGGGGGGGTTCATATTTGGCAAAATTTAAGTACATGTATTAAACAATAGTGCATTACAATTTTCATTTTTTTTTTTTTTTTGGCTTCTGATTTTTTTTTGTAATCTTAATCCCATGCAGGAGTGGGGTTGCAATAGGAATTTAACACTGGATATATGTATAGGAAGTTTCCTCTGGCTTCATTTGGGGGTCGGTGTTATGAACACATCTTATTCTTTTAGACAGATGCATTCATATTTTTCCAAACTCAAGAATACACAAAGTAAATGTACAAAATTTTGAAATCAATGAACTTATTTTCATTCAGCATTTCAAATGCACCTGTTTGTTTAAAAAATAAAAATATCACCATTTTCCTACTATAATAGGTGAAAATTAGAAGATGAGCAGCTGTATCATATGTCATAAGGAGAACTCTACCAAACATCTTGTGCAAATACGAAACAAAGGCAGTGATGGTATTAATAAAGCTAGTAGAGAAAGACAGGACATTTTAGTAGCATATCCTGGCAACTATGTTCATGAAGAGTGTCGCAGAATTTATACTAATGTAAATGAGATTAAAAAAAATAACAAAGAAAAGAAAAGGTTTGAAACATTGAGTAGCACTTCAAATACTCCAACATTAAGATCAAAGAGCCAATTCCAATTTAATGAACATTGTCTTTTTTGTTGTCAAGACACCAAGTCAGATTGGTTTAGGAAGAAAGGCATTGGTGTTTTACCTGTCAGGACAAAAGATTTTCAGGAGAAAATTTTACAAGCTTGTAATCATAGAGAAGATGACTGGGCAGTTAGTGTTAGAGGAAGGATCGAATCTGTCAATGACTTACATGCTGCTGATGCATTATATCACCAAATGTGCAGCGTTAACTTCAGAACCGGTAAAGCCATGCCACAATATTTTTCCTCCGACAAAGTTGGAAGGAAAAGGGGAAGGCCAGTGAGTTGCACAGATGCTTTTTTGGAGATTGTTGAGTATTTGAAACAACATGAGGATGAGCAAATCACAGTAATTGATCTTGTGAATAAAATGAAAGACCTGTGTGGAGATGAAGCATATTCTTCAGTGTATATGAAGAAAAAATTGAAAGAACATTTTGAAAATGAAATTATAATTACTGATGTAAGTGGAAAGTCAAGTGTAATTACTTTGAGAGATACAGCCACATCCATACTTCAAGATTTCTATAATCGACCAAAATTTCAAGATTCAGAAGCTGAAAAAAGGTCAATTATCAAAGCTGCCGCAAAACTTATCAAGAGTGACATAAGATCATTGCCGGTGAATAAAGAATATTATCCCTCACCATCTGAAATATCATCAGTTGATAAAAATCTTGAATTTGTTTCAGAGAGTCTACAGCTTTTTCTTCAAGATATTCTTTCTGAAAAAAATACAAAGTTAAAGGTTTCATCATTAGGTCAGGCCATTATCCAAGGATCTAGACCAAGGAGTCTCATTTCACCATTGCAGATTGCTCTTGGAGTACAATTACACCACTGTTTTGCATCACGTTTTCTTATCGAAACCCTTTTCAACTTAGGATTTTGTTCTTCATATCCTGAAGTTCAAAAATTTGAAACCTCTGCAGCATTAACTAAAGGCATTGATATCCCAGGTTGTACAGAACAAAGCTTCATTCAGTTTGT